AGTACGGCTATCGCCATAGAGTTCCGCTTGATTTATGCATATAAGAAGCTTTATAAGAAAAGGGAGAAAAAGACGAAAGAAAGAGGAGATAAAAGGGAGACGATGATAAAATGTCTTCTGTCTGCTTCTGCAAAGAGATGTAAAAAGAATGGCTCAACCAACGGATCGCTGAAGTATAAGTAGTATTATTTAACCTGACACGTATAATGTGGTAGCTACGGAAGAGGATTAGTGCCACTGGAAAAAAAAAAAGTTAACTGATTTGTTTAATTTTATTTCAGTACAGTATGGGGGAAAAAAGTCAGAATTCTGAGATGAAAGTCAAAGTCAGAATTCTGACTTTAAAATAAAATTTAAAAATCTGTTAATTTTATTTTTTTCCCCAGTGACCCTAATCCTCTTCCGTAGGTAGCTGTAGATAAGAATAAAGGGGTAAAAAAGTGATGAATGTTTGAAACTAAATCCTATCTCAGTCTTATGTTTACATTTTTTCACAGTGTTTACATTTTATCACTGCTGCACTTTAAAAATGGAAATGTCTTTAGAGCTGTACTGGACAAAATTTCTTTTTGTATACACTTACAAAATAACAATAAAGCCTGTCTAAGTCCTTTATTTCTGATATCATGCCTGGACCTTAGAAACAGACCAGTTTCTAACCTGATATTCTAAACTTTGGCTGAATCATTCTAATCTCTCTCTGTAGTTGGGACCCGTTCAAACTCCAAACTGAGGACAACCAGCCGTCTCCCCACCTGGTTCCAGGTCTCTCACCTGGACTGAAGCTCCTGGCCGGACTCACAGGACAGCAGCTGCCCACCTACTTCAGCAGATATATAGCTCTGGTGAGACTTTTCTAAGATCTGCCTTAATAACTAAAAAACACAGAAACATCAAACCTCTAATTAGAGACTTTAATACAGTGAGGAAAATAATCCTTCTTATATAAATAGAAAATTGATATAAGAAGGAAAAATTAAGATCAGGATTTCATAATTACGAGATACTGATCTTGTTATTATGAGATGAGCTGTCAGGTTTTTTTTTTCCTTTGGTGATTCAATACGCTTCCTTATAAATGTGACATCACATATATACTAAATGAAAAAGGAGAAAAGAGACTAGAGAACCCTGTAATATCCTGTGATTCTCTCCTCCATCATCAGTCCAGGGGGGAGGACCTGAGACACGTCCTGTGGCTCTCTGTGGTTCTCTATAAGGCTCCAGAAACCGAGCTGACCTGCTGTCTGCTACTCTCTACGGACGCCATCTACTTCCTGCTGGAGGACTCTGCCACCGCTCTGGGGAACCACTCAGGTGGGACAAGAAACAAACTGGTTCTGTCTAAACCAGAGTTCCTGCAGTCCAGGAATGTTCTCAGGTTCTTACGGTGGCCAAGGGCTGCAAACACTGATTAATTAAATTATTTCACAGGAAATTTAAAGGTTCTACAAACTCAAGAAGGAGATTAGCAAACAGAGAGAAAATGCTGCCAATGAGAAAAGCAGCATTTACAGAAAGTGGAAAACAAAGTGGAAACATGCAAAAAAAACAGGCGACATTCTGCAGCTACATCAATGATGCTAACGCAGAAACATGAAACGCGTTCAGAGGGAAAATGCTGCAAGTAGCAGAAACAGTTGCTGGTTATAAAAGCTGCAAACTAGCTACTCAAAATGGAAGGACCACTAGAGGGAGCTGATCATCAACTGATGTGGAACCGGACCCTCCCAGTAAAGGCATAAACTGGAATCAAGGGTTTGATCTGATTACCTCAAATTGTAGCTCCTGGTCCTAGCTCCTATCCTTCATCTTTCAATGGGTCAACAGTAAGAACACTATCCACCGCTGGGAAGAAGCCTCAGACTGCTGTGCTGAATCCTTACGGACGTCATTACAGGATGGACACGCGCATGAATGATGCTGGTTACACTAGGACAGCCTTAATAAAAATTATGTTTTTCTATTCAACTCTGTGAGGTGGGCCGTGCCTACATGGTCTGTCATGCAAAGGATTGTGGGAAACCATAAAGCTCCTAGTGGAGGTTAGAAACGTCGGGAGGTCCCTATGCTAACTGCATTAGGGATGGAAAGCATCCTGGTCCTAGCTCCTTCCTAACTGCCAGCACTATTCGGACAGCATTCATCATGGCGGCCACCGACTTACTTTATGCCTCGGTTTAAATGTCCTTATCCGTTTAAAAGGAAAAGTCCGTTCAGCAAGAAATAATTAATGGATCATTATTTATACCTAAAACTAATATGTTCGTGGTGATTTAATGAATTTAGCATTAATTAACAAAAAAGTAAATAAAAACAATGATTTTCGTCACGATCACTGAGTCTGGGAGCGGCCATTTTTGCCCAAATATAGTAGCCCCTCCCTCCTGCCATCTTCCAGCAGTGACGTCACGGTGCGGTAAGCCTAGCGCCATTCTCCCCGCTTTACAAGCTAAATCAATGGGAGCTACTAGACACATCTGCAATCAACAACAATTATTGAAGATTTCCAGAGGACTTCACCATTGAAATTCACCAGAGCTATAGTGAAACTGACAATGCCCACGTGCATGGCAGCTGGATGCTGGAATACATCGGGTAAAAGTGAAAAAAGAAAGAGTTATTCCACCTTTCTGATTCCTGATCCTCCACGGACGGGTTGGTCGTTGGATCGCCAACTTGAAGAGGGAGGATTTGCCATCGAACTTCTGGCCAGAGAAAAAACCCGTAATATGTAGCCAACATTTGGAAGAAGAATGTTTTCAAGATGACTTGGATAATAGCGCGTTGTGACAAACACCAGATACAGCACTGGGACTTGATCAACAGCCGATACCGCACCGTGACGTCACTAACCAGTAGGTGGCAGTAGTGTTCTTTGACAAACATGGATGCCTCCAGTAAAGCACATTCACATGAAAATTACTCTGAATTAAAAACACTGATCATTTATTGAACAGGATGGAATAATTTCATATTTAAAGAACTTTCAGAAGTTTGAATTCTGAATATGACCGAACTTTTCCTTTAAACAAAGAAACTTAAATTTATTCCTACCTCCAAATTTCCTCTGGACGGCTTCCTATTTTAAGTTTTTTGATACAGATTTGGTCCTTAGGTGTAACGCAGAGTAACAGTGATGTTCTGGTCCTATAATGATCATCTCCCCCTAGTGGTCTGGAGCTTTTCCAGCATGTAGTGCTGGTTTGCAGCTTTCCATAACTGACACTTTTCATCTTCTTGTAGCATTTTTTCTTAGCATCATCATCATAAGCATCATTTCTGTATTTTCTAGCAGGTTGTTGCAGCGTTTACGTTTTTTAGTGATAACAGCTTTACTCATTTAAAGCATGTTTGTGTGTTTATGTTCATCCAAGTTTGTATTTTCATAAAATGAGTATTTTCATAGCTTTTGAATCAGCTGAGTAATCGCGTATTTTCATGCTGTTCATCCCTTTGCCACCGTGGATACTGCGGATCAGTTCATTCTAGGGATTTAATCCTGATCTATTGTGTCCAAAGTGTCTCATGGTTTTGTCTCTGTCTGCCAGCGATGGACTCATCCATCTCTGGAGACCCGGAGACAAATCTCTGCTGCTGCCTGAGCATCAGACTCTCTGAGCTGCAGGCTGTCAACGTTGGACTGTTTGACCAGTACTTCAGAGTTGTAGGTGAGTGGACCGGGACTCGCCCGCCCATCCCGTCCCCTCAGACTTCCCACAGCTTTAACTGTGTGTGTCCTGGCAGGACGCTCGGCCGACCAGATCGTCTGCTGCCTCAGCAGGGACAGCTACGGGACGAGCGTCTTCCTGCAGGAGCTGATGTCTGCTCTCAGCCTGCAGCAGCAGCTCCCTCCACCGGAGCCTTCGGATCAGGACTTCTACTCCCAGTTCACCGACACAAACGCGGGTAGGAAAACTCATTCACAGCCTCAGACACCAGGTGATTAGGGTGTGGAAAACGGAGCGTACCTCTCCCTGCAGGTAAGATGCAGAACTACGAGCTGATCCACAGCAGCAAGGTGAAGTTCATTTATCCCAGCGAGGAGGAGATGGGAGACCTGACCTTCATCGTGGCTGAGAGGAAGACTTCAGCCAGCACGGCCTCTTCATCCTCCAGCTCCTGCAGCATCCTGCTCTACCTGCTGGTCTTTCAGGTGATAAAGCCTTTTTTTTTTTTACTGGAATTTCAACAGTTTGGATTCTCAGATGCTCTGTAATAAATCCAAAATCATAAATAAAGTAAGAAAATGTATTTTCATGTATGGAAAGTGGGGGGAAAATATTTAGGAACAATTCTAAAAATAATCCAGTGGGGATCGTCCTAAACATTGGATCTGGATGTTCAGATTTTACTTTCTTCCAGATTTCTTTACATCCAGTTCAGCAATATAACTACAGCTGGATCAATCAAAGCAGCTTCTCCTAAAAGAAGGGTTAACTCAGCTGTAGTAATACTGTTGTTCTAAAGTAAGAAAATCTGGAAGGAAATACCTGCTACCTCCTTTTGATTTAGTTTTTCTTTTTGTAATTGTGGAATATATCACAAAGGTAACTGTGGTAGATACAAAACTACAATTCACACTTTTCTTTGTTTAAAAAAAAGACAAAATGGTGCAGGGATGAGGAGGGAGAGGCATAGATGATGCTGGATGGATGACGGGGGGGGGTTTGGGAGGAGGAGGTTTATGATGCATTTAAAAACAAACTGAGAACAACAAAGTAGAGGTAAAGCGATGGTGGAGAAACAATCTGCTGGACTTTGTTTCCAAGTTTGAAGACGTTTCTCTTCCATCC